TTCACAAGATAACCCCAGAAGATGTCTTTACATGTGCCTTGGGGTGGAGTGGAGGGCACTTTAATTAGAGTGGATCCAAGAGCTGCTGTAATTAAAACAACCTCAGTGTCACATGTATTCAGGGTCCTGCACTTCAAAATGGCAGCAGGGGTGCTTTAACTAAAGTTCATTTGACACGCTTCAGTTAAAGCTCCTGCTGTCATCTTGAAGCATGGGAACAGTGAATACATGTGACATGTAGTCTGTTAGATTTAATTTATCAAGTCTGCTCTGACATGTGCTAATTAGTAAATGTTGGAGCAGATATCCAGCATGCGTATGGGTGCCCAGAGATTTCAAATAGAAATCCATAGCTGCGTTCTTTGCAACAGAATTTTTTTATCTATATATCTATTTTTATCTATATAGTCAAAAAACAGGAAAGTTAAGAGCCAGCATTTTCTTAGGGGTATCTCAAATCTATCCAGTGGTGTTTCAAGTCTAAAAAGGTTGAGAACCACTAACTTAGAGATATAAGTACACATCTTGCATGCTACTGAATAGTTTATTTTATCTGATCCTTAAAACTTGTGAAGTCCTTAGAAGCCAAAGCCAAAAGTCCTATCAAAAGATGTAGTATTTACAAAAAGACAGCCAAGTTACAAACTAACAAAACAAGGGCAGCCATTTTTGTTCTAAGAAAACAGCATGCTTCTGGGATAACTTATCCATTTCTTCTAGTGCCAAAAAGGCATGGGGGGTTAAATTGGTGGGCAGGGGAAACATTCTTTTGATAGTGAAGAGAACAAATAAAAGTACCAATCCTGCAAAAAGTATTCACACGTGTAGCTTCTTATGTTCAAGCTACAGCCTAGGGCTCTGGTCCATCAAAACTTTTCAACATGTGCTTAACTTTAAGAATTATATTAAATGTAAGTTCCACTGAATGTCAGTCCCACTGAAGAATTTGTGTTTAAATTTAAGCATGAGGGTATTTTTTTTGCTGAAATGAGTTCGAAAAGTATTCAACATTTCATTAAGATCCAACTTAATTTACCAGAGGTCAAATTCAGGGAATATACAGGGAAAGAGACAACCAGAGTGAAACCAGGAATATTCTACACTAGCCTCATGTAAAACCTGTAGAAAAGCACTCTGGTAGCCAGCTGTAGGCAGAGACATTTAGACAACTCTCTGGGATCTGGGGGAAGATTTTATCATTGTGTTTTAGCAAATACATTCTCTGGAATTCTGACTTTATCTGTTGGGTAGACTCTTTCCATAGATTCTGCCCTGGCAAAATTAATGTTCACAGTGGGTTCTGGGCAGGGCTAGGTTAAAATGCTAGAATAAGCTCTGTTGATACAGCAATCCAAATATAAAGTTGTCCCTAGATTTGGCCTCAGCTGCTTTGCTGATTTAGTCCAACCTGTCTGTACATCTGTTCCTGGTATATTAACTGAAATAATATTTTTTTAAAGAATAACAAAAGATTAAAAGTTCTTGATCTGATGATCTTTCCAAAATGATTTCTTCAATAGCAAGTCATGTTTCACTAATCTCTCAGAATTCTTTAAATGCATCAGTACTGAATAAGGGAGAAGTGGTCAAGAACATCTATTTAGACTTTCAAAAGACTTTTGACAAAGTTCTACATACGAAACTCATTATTAGAGGGTGATTAAAAGACAGTATGAAGAGTAGAATTAAATATCCCACAAGCAATAATTGTATATCAATTCATGGTTTAACCCTGAAAATAAAAATGAATAACCCAAAGTTACGTGATAAAACTTCCATGGTACCATTAATAGTGACAAACAGGCTCTTAATATTGATGAACAGAAGCATGTATTTTTAAGGTGTTTTGTACTAATGCAGTGGTGTACACAATTAATTTGCTTTGTATTCAAGTGTATCTGATACTCATTTAACTAAGTAGGAAACATTGACAGTGATCACTGGGCAGTCTTTGTTTTTGTTTGTTTTCTTGTGTTTTGTTTTGTTTTGTTTTACAGTCCAGCTCTAATGATCCTTAAAAACCAGGGGACATGATCTAATTTGTCTGCCAATCTGTCTCAATTAACATGAATCAAGATGTCTCAGTTTCAGCCTGCCTTTGTACACCAGAAATTCTAGTAGAGTGATACCCTAAGTTTTCTGGAAGTAGTACACCTACTGTAGTCTTTTTGAAAAGTAGAAGGCAGGGTAGATTTGCACTTTATTGACTAACCAAAGTAGATACACATATTATACCACAAGCTTTCATGGGGCAAAAGCTTCTTCAGATGCTGTTCCCACAAGTTTGTGATATCTAAGTTACAAATCTATCCTGCCTTCTGCTTGACTTCAGACTAACACAGCTAACTCCATCTTTTGGAAACTTGGAGATAGCTGCTGCAGTGAACAGTGCCCTCCTGTGGAACTGGTTGCAAATGTGAAGAACGGAGCCTGAGAGAAAACCTGTTGCAAATTGGAAACCACTGCTAAGTCACAAACTGAAGCCTGGTTTCAGCAAAGCACATATATTTAATTTTTAAGCACGTGTGTAGAGGGAACTACTCATGCTTAAAAGCAGACCATTAAATACCTCACTGAAACCAAGATGTGCTAACTAAAGCATTTTGATCTCTTTAAACAAGGTTTTTATGTTTTTATTATAGTCAGAAATAGTGTGGTGGTGATTCACCTGAAAGAGTCTAATGGGCAATTTTCTGACATTTTTTAGGGTAGTGGTTTACAATATCCAGACCAGGTTGCATGATAATTTAGAGGAAAGAAAAACTAAAAGTAGAGTAAGATGTTGAGCTGTACTGGCAAGAGGCTCAGCACAAAACTCACAGCACAGGGAGACTGGGGAGCAATGAAGGCTTTACACCACATTTCTGTCATTATGATTCTGAGTTACTGTGGTGGATAGCAAGGCCCCTAAGATAATTCAGATACAAAACAGTTTCAAACGTTGTGCCTGGGTACCTACTTGTGGCAGTAGTATGAGTATGCATAAAGAAGTATGCATAGAATAGTATGAGTAGTATGCATAGAGAAACAGGGCTAAAAGGGACTTCATATAGTCGAATCCCCTGCCTGAAGCAGGATCACAAAATTACAGAATCATAGACAAAATAAGGGTTGGAAGGAACCTCAGGAGGTCATCTAGTCCAACCCCCTGCTCAAAGCAGGACTATCTCTAGCTATATCAGCTCAGCCAAGGCTTATTAATCCTAGCCAAACCATCCTATACAAATCCATAATCTAACCTCCCCAGAAAACTATCATCAACCCTGACACAGCACAAAACATAACAACCTAACCTGCCACAGGTAAAGCAATGGGACCACAGCAGCCAATGTCCTGTGATCTGCTTCTGTAAAAGGTTGCTAATATACACACAAGAGATCCCAGGTACAAGGTCACACCCCTGCTACAGATGAAGGCATCCCCCCCATAGTCCATACCAATTTGACCATAGGGTAAAATTCCTTCTTGACCCCAAATATGGTGATTGGTCTGATCCTGATCACAACAGCAAGACTCTCTAGCCAGCACAGGTGACTGGTGGGGGGGAGCATGGGGAGGCACATGACCCCCTTGAGATCAGCCTCCAAAAGCGGAGCAGGTTTTTTGCAGCAGTTTTTTTGCCATGTGGGTCAGCGGCATGGGGCGTGGGAGCACTCAGCCATGGCACAGAAGTATAGGAGCAGATGTGAGGCTTTTGGCCCACCCCCAGGCCTGCCCACAAACTTTAGTTAAAGCACCCCTGCTGCCATTTTGAACTGCAGGACCCTGAATACATGTGACACTGAGGTTGTTTTAATTACAGCAGCTCTTGGATCCACTCTAATTAAAGTGCCCTCCTCTCCACCCCAAGGCACATGTAAAGACATCTGGGGTTATCTTGTGAATTGGGTTTGCACACCTAACAGTGTGGTGGTGTGGTATTAAAACCAAGTATTCAGGATACTCATCCGAACTTGACATTCGTTGATTTTAGATTTGCTCTAGCTGTTGACCTTGCCCATCTATGTATGTTTAACTTTAATGGTATGTTTTACATAAAATATAAAAAAAAATGCAGAAGTTTCCTCAAACAATGGGAACAAACAAAAAACCTCCCAATCTAGCTGTAATTCCCTGCAGTCCCACCTTCTTTGCTTCCTGTCCTGCTTGCCAGTTTATGATCCCTTCTAGCACTTTACCTTTGACCTGCTAAAACTTCATGTTGTTTGTAGATTCTTCTGGAAGGTTTCACATGGCCCTGCCCACTACTTCCTCAAAACCCGAACAAAGAAATTAGTCTTTTGCTGATCCCAAGAGTGCTCTGGTTTGAGCTAGTTTGGAGTGGATAGAACAGAAATGTGGATACAAATAAAGGTTGCTGTTTTCCAAATACATGTGGGTATTGGTCATTAGTCATTAGTCAAGAGGTATTAGTCACCCCTGCTAGCCAGGAACCTCCAGTTTTAAATCCCTGCAGGAGCACTGGGACACCCCAGTGTGTCCCCAGACTTGGCTGCATCCAACACCCAATGCTTCTGAGTTCTGAGGAAGGCTTAAAAACACCCTAACACATGTAATGGAAAGTGAGGAGAGAGGGCAGCTAGCAAAGCCCAGAAACGTGGGAAATACCCATAACAGAACATAAGCAACCCAGACCAGTGGCTGTCCAACCTCTTCTTAAACACCAAAACTCCCCTAAACAGTGTATTCCACTGCCTCTCTATTCTAACAATGAAGAAGTTTTCCTGATATTTAGCCGAAACCTGCCTTGCAGCAACTTCAAGCCACTAATGTCCACAGTTCTCAGGGCTGCAGCCCTTACCCTTGTCTTCTGACACACCCCTTAAGCCTAGGGTTGCAGTAGAGGGGATTATGGGGCAACGTAAATTACCTGACACAAAGCCTGAATCAGGGGAATATTCAGCTCAGATCAAGTCAGATTAGGGGCTTTTTGACAGTGCTGAAGACAGCATAAGAGGGTCATAACCAAGGGACAATATTTCCTGTGATATTCAACTTACCTCATCTCCTTTTGATAGGTGGATTCTGAAAGAAATGAAAAAATGAATTTAAAATACGGTACAATTAAACATGGGCTACTGCAGAGGTTCTCAATTTCTGTATTAGAACAAAGTTCTGTCCCCTTCCACTTGTAATCACATATCATTCCTGCACAATTGTTTACATGGAAAATGAACACCATGAAAGTATTCATTTAATGCATTTATTATAGCTATATATCACATATCTAGATGAAGGTGTGCGTTGACAATCAATAAGATTTGTGTTCTAATAAGGCACTGTTGACATTAACACACTACAGTTTTACTATGGTAGAAATACTAATGAGTCCACCAAGAAAAAGTTGACTTCTTATGGGGTAACAGAAAAATGAAATGCATTGTCAACAAGCTACAAGTTCCCAAAATTCACTGATTGTCTGAACATTCCTTACCAAACTGTGCAGAATGCCTCAACTGACACGATAACAGATTGTAGCTAATTTAATACTTAAAAAATACATTAGCAAAATCCACTTACCTTTCTTTTTTTGGCGGTGACAGCAGTATACAATAATCACAATAATAATGACCAGAAGAAGAAAACCGACAACTGAAAATACGACTGCAACTATTATAATCCACGTGCTTGTACCGTCTCCTGTGTTTTCTATTAAATTAAATGAAGAAGTATTATACTACCAGAACTGTAGCTGGCCTTTTGCTAAAGAATAAGTGTGCATCGTTTTGTAAGCACTATTCAAATTACTCATGGATTATTTAATATCAAAGATTAATTGTATTTCTCATTTGTTTGCCAGGTGACTTTATCCTAGATTTATTGATAGTGCCCAAAAGTACAAAATGCCTTGAACATGATTTTTTTTATCACTGCAATTATTCTACTTTAGCCTATAGTTCCTTCTATTACTCACAAACACTGGATGCTCTTTTTTTATTCTTCTCACTTACATTGGGGGCAGTTTGTCCCTGGTCCAACACCTTTTACAGACAACAGGGGCAAAATTCTACTTTGCTGTTAAGGAATCTAAATGGCATTTTCATAGTTTTAGAAGAGATGAAATGACATTCTACTTCATCCTGCATAATCATCAGAATTGCAATAAAAAGTCTACATTTTTACCTGTCTGCCTTGTACCCAAAGTCAGTGTTTGCCCAGCTGTGCATTCTGGGAAACAATTCAATATGACCACCAAGGCATTTAGCTCCCTTTATGTTTTGTTGCAATTTAATTTCCCCCCGGAGTCAAATAAAAGCTGTGCAAGACCTGTGAAACTTCAGCTGACCCAAAACCAGGACTAGTAGTGGCTTGACACTGTTGCAAGCGGCAGATTTGTGTTGCAATGTATTAAAAACTCTACCCAAGAAGATGCACGATCTAGGCCCACTCTCCTCAAAGGGATATCAGCAAGGGCTCACCTCTCACACCATAGGACAGCATCACAACTACCACACTATGCAGAACTAGGGGCACATTGTTGTTATAGCTGCACTGTCAACCAGCTAAAGGGATGGATTTATGAAACCAGGAAAAGGAGAAGCTGCCTCTCTGGCCAAGATGAGGGCCACTATATTGACTGAGAGAGGTCTTGGGTTCTAGTTCCTATTTGTCCACTTTATCCAGTAACTAGTTAATGCCAAATGCAGCACTTACACTGATGCTAGTCTGGAATAATGTCATTTTTAATGGATTGCACTTCAATAATAGATGTAAGAGAGCTACTGTCCATCTCCAGAGGCATGGATGTACTGCCTAGTGAAATGAATGTGTGATTCTAGAGGCAATGGAAACTTTTTCACTAATTCCCCATTGAAAGTGTGGAGCACTGAAAGCATGTCCACACAGGTGAACAGAATGCTTCTTTGTGCCTGGTCCTGTTAACAGAAACTAAGTGGGCTCATCTACACATGCAATTAATGCTCCTGTATTTTGTCTGCAGAATATTCAGGCTCCCGCATTGGGAGCAAATTGTGCCCAACAGGAGCAGTCCAGTCCAGGGCCGCTCCTGCCCTGCTCTGCCCTCCTGCAGCATCCAGGAGAAGCTTCAGGCTCCCCTGGGTACCAGACCCTAGCATTCCCAGCTCTGGGGGCAGCCCTGAGCTGCGTAGGGTGGAGGTGGAGGGGTGTGGCAAGGGGAGATGTCGCAGCTGGGTGGGCAGCTGCCTGCCAACCTTGCACAGATCGGGACCCATCACGATCTCTGCAGGGCTGGGATTGCTGTTCTGGCAGCTAGACAACTGCCTCCTAGCCACACAGAGATCGGGACAGGTCCTGATCTGCATGGGGCTGGCAGGCAGCTGCCCTCTGAGCTGGGACAGCTCCCCATATTCCCTTTCCTCCACCCCACATAGTTTCATAGTTTCTAGGGTTGGAAGGGACCTGAGAAGATCATCTAGTCTGACCCTCTGCCATGGCAGGAAAGAGTACTGGGGTCAAACGACCCCAGCAAGGTGTTCATCTAACCTCTTCTTAAAACCCCCCAGGGTAGGAGCCTGCACCACCTCCCTTGGAAGTTGGTTCCAGACCCTAGCCACCCTAACCGTGAAAGAGCGCCTTCTGATGTCTAACCTAAATCTACCCTCTGCTAGCTTGTGACCGTTGTTCCTGGTCACTCCTGGCTGTGCTC